GGGCTAATTAGTCTCCATTATTAAGGCACGACCTTTCTGTGCAATATGCTCAATACCCTGTGAGTCTTGAGGCTTTCCAGTCTGACTGGTGGGAAGAGTCACTATTCTTAGCTGTGTGTCATTGCTGGGCACTGTCACTTCTGGTCCTTTCAGGTGATTCTTTTTCTGACTTTGGGTTGTGTCCTCACATGCATTATGATGATCAGTACTCTTGAATGCTAGAGGGACACCTGCGGATTTCTAGAGTTCTTTCTCTGTGCAGTTTTCTCTTCTCTGGCACTCTAGCCTACTAGATATTCTTTGATCTATCTGGATTCTTAGCTTTATCTTCTCACCTTAAGTCCTTTGGGTTCTGCCTCGGTGTCCTCTCCCTATGCCATGCCCTGGCATCTCTCTCAATGCAGTAAGATCTTGGGCAGGTGTAAGTTTCATCTTATTTGTTTTCTATTTCTCAGGGATCATTGTCCTTTGATACCTGATGTGCAGTGTTTTGGTTTTTTTTTTTTTTTCCCTCTTATAGTTTGTTGGTTTTTTGATTCTTTCTGGCATGAGGGTAAATCTAGTCCCTGTTACTCCATCTTGGTTGGAAGCAGAAATCTACCAACTTTACTATGGTTGGTATTAGCAAAGTGTATCTTTTTCACCACTTTTCCTTCTTTCTTTCTTTCTCTCTCTCCTTCCTTCCTCCCTCCCTCCCTCCCTCTCTCTCTCTCTCTTTCTTTCTTTCCTTCCTTTCTTCCTTCTTCTCTTTCTTCTCTTTCTTTTTTTGAGACAGAGTTTCACTCTTGTTGCCCAGTCTGGAGTGCAATGGCACGATCTTGGCTCACTGCAACCTCCACCTCCCAGGTTCAAGCAATTCTCCTGCCTCAGCCTCCTGAGTAGCTGGTATTACAGGCATGTGCCACCACGCCCAGCTAATTTTGTATTTTCAGTAGAGATGAGATTTCTCCATGTTAGTCAGGCTGGTCTTGAACTCCCAACCTCAGGTAATCCGCCCATCTTGGCCTCCCAAAGTGCTGGGATTACAGGAGTGAGCCACCGTGCTAGACCTTTTCCTTCCATCCTTCAGTGTCCTTATATTTAGTTAGATTTTGTTTCTTCATCTAGTCTGTCTTTATATTTCTCTTTTAACTAAACAATATAGTTTATTTATGGTTAATGTTATTACCAATATATTTCTTTCCAAATTTACCACTTGTTTTGTGCTTCCTATTCCCTCCAATACTCTGTTTTTCCTTTTATCTTCTTTTTTATTTTCTTTTGGAATGGGTTTTTAAAATCTTTGCATTTTTATCCTCCACTAGTTTAGATGTTACACATTCTATTTCTATTATTTGAGTGGTTACCTTTAAAATTATAACATGTGATCTTAATTTGTCAAAATCTAATGTTGGTAAGTTTTTTATTCTTGATCCACCTGCCTCATCCTCCCAAAGTGTTGGGATTACAGGCGTGAGCCACCATGCCCAGCCTTTCACTGAGCTTTTAAGGGTCTCCGATTTATGCAGGGGCCTTAGATTAACTTCTTACCTTTTATAAGCCCCGGGCCTTTGTTTTTTTTCTTTTCCTTTTTTCCAGGAAAATGCTCATTGAAAAAGGAAACTTCAGTTTGCCAGTGATGAGCAGGTGTCCTCACGACAACTGGCTGCTCAGCACTCACACCTCTTTGGGTTGGTGTTTCATGTCTTTTTGATTTTTGAGGACTTTCCTTATTGTCATGTCACCTCTGCTATGCATTATTCATTTAAAAACATATTTGAGACTGGGCATGGTGGCTTACACCTGTAATTCCAGCACTTTGAGAGACCAAGTGGGGAGGATTGCTTGAGTTCAGGAGTTAGAGACAGTGAGACCTCATTTCTAAAAAAAAAAAAAAGATGAAAATAAGCTGAGCATGATGACATACATATAGTCCCAGCTACTCAGGAGGCTGAGATGGGAGGATAGCATAAGCCCAGGAGTTTGGTTACAGTGAGCTATGATGGCATCCTAGGCAACAGAGTGAGAGCTCGTCTCCAAGAAAACAAAACAAAACAAAGCAAAACAAACAAACAAACAAACAAACAACATATCTAAAAATATTTCACACTGCCTTCGTGGGTTCTTTGTACCTTGGTGGTTTTTCAAGATTTCTGGTCTGAAATATGGTCAGGAATTGAAATCAAGGGCTTCCTTTATTTTCTACTCAACTGCTAACATCTTCCAGAATACTTTTCTATTAACAGCTCTTTGGAAGATTCTGTGCCATGGCAAGCCAGATTTCAGTTTGGTTTAAGAGAGAGCTTTCTGTTAGAATGTCTGGAAGATGGAATGTGCTGAGGAGGTGGTGAGTTCCTGGAGGTTTTAGAGTGCAGACAAGATGATCTTTTTTTGGTAATTTTGGAGAGCAATGTATGCACCATGGATAGAATAATGGAGAGATAAGAAACATGGATGTTTCTTAAAACTCACAATTCTTTGTTATTGGTGGTTGTCCTAAGGATGAGTATGGTGGTAGAAATGCACTAACATTTGCCGAGTACCTATTATATATGTGGCACACATTATACTGGAAACTTACACAAACTTTATAATCTATTCCTTGTAACAATCTTATTGTGGTAGGTATTGTTATCCCTAATTTATAGATGATATAAACAAGGTTATGAGAAAATAAATTTCTTAAGGTCACATATTAAGTGACTGAGCCAGAGTTGAAATTTGTCAGTTGGCTTCAAAGCTGAGGTGCTTTCTTTCACACTATACTGCTGATAGTCCCTGTAATAGGACAGCAGAGACAGATGAGGCTCTCATAACCATCTCCCAGGGGTAGCTGAACAGATTCTTTCCTGCCCTTGCTTTAAGCTCCTCCCTTTTCCTCTGCTTAATTTCCCACTGTTCAGATTTTAAATTGCTGTTTGAAAGACAGAAGTATACACAACCTCTAATCAATTTTGGCTAAAAAAGGAGAGCTTCCCAGTACATGCCACTGGAGGATCACTTAATGGCATCACTTTGATTTTTACTGCAAATGCTTAGGGATAAATGCGGTAGTAAATATACTATCTTGTTTAGCAATTTAAATATTCCCTGCAAGCTCATTAGGTTCTGTCACCTTATGGCTGTTCCTTGTGTGGGAGTGATACTCCCACCCCCACAGCCTGCTGTTCCCAAAACAGGTGTTTCTGGAGTGAGCGCTTGGGGGGATGTTCCTCACACGGAGGGTAGAGAGTTGGGAGGCAGCTCTTTAAAGGAATTACTGACGGTGTTGGTGTAATAAAGAATCAGACTCCATTTGTGGTATTTGACTGCTGACAGCTTCCTAGCCCCACTAATCCCTTTTCTCTTTCTACCTCCTTATCTGGGGAGGGTTATAAGAGCCAGGGTGCTTTTTGCTTTTGTATCAGTGGGAAGTTCAAACCATGCAAGCCCAGGTCATCACCCCAGCCCCACTCCATAATCACCATGAAACTCCAACTCAGTTGTCCCTTGCTACTCTCTCTAAAAACCATTTTTGACCCTGCTTGGAAGTCTATCCTGCTTTTCCCAGAGAATCTCATTATATGAAGAACAAACATTTTTACCCTCTTGGCACGTGGGTGTATGGCAACATCAGTCTTGACATCTGGAAGCAAATTCCGGGTGAGGAGGGATGGCTCATTCTGCCTCTGTGGGGTAATCACAATACAGTCATGCACCACTTAAGGATGGAAATCTCTTCTGGGAAATGCATTGTTAGGCAATTTCATCACTGTGCGAACATTACGGAGTGCACTTGCACAAACCTAGATGGTAGAGCCTACTAGACACCTAGGCTATATGGCAGAGCCTTTTGCTCCTAGACTATAAACCTCTACCACAAGTTATTGTAGTGAATATTGTAGGCAATTGTAACACAGTGGTAAGTATATGTGTATCTAAACATAGAAAAGGTATGGTAAAATATGACATAAAATATAAAAAATGATATACTTGTATAGGGCATTTAGCATGAATGGAGCTTGAGGACTGGAAATTGATCTGGGTGAGTCAGTGAGTGAGTGGTGTGTGAACATGAAGGCCTAGGACAGTACTGTACTCTACTTTACTGTAGACATTATAAACACTAACCACTTAGGCTACACCAAATTTATGAAAAAAATAAAGTAATCATGCTACAACATTATCATGGTGATGACATCACTAGGAGATAGAAATTTTTCAGCTCCATTTTAATCTTATGGGACCATGTCACATGGTCTGTCATTGGGACCATGTCACATGGGACCACATCACATGGTCTGTCATTGACCAAAACGTTGTTATATGGCATATGACAGTGCTGGTAATGGAAAGATTGAGCAAGACGTGACAGGAACCTAGGTTTCTGAGTCCTTGGCTGTCTGTGCCAGACATTGACAACTCTGAAGTGTTCCTGAAAGCAGTGTGTGCAGAGGGCAAGGTCAGGCAAATGCTCCAGTGTTATCACCGTGAGGCTGTAGCACCGCACCTCACAGGCTCTTCTTGTATGCCATATGGATGATTCCTTTTGCCTGGTGGAAGGCAGCTCAGAACCAAGAATAGAGAGAGGTTGAGTCCCTAAGCCTCATCCTACCTAAGTCTGTACCCAAATATCATGGCTAATGAAATTGGAGAAAGGCAATTTTAAAATAGTTCTATTTCTTCTTTTCCAGTCTGGGTGCTATTTATTTCTTTAGCCAGATTGCACATGGCTAGTATGTCCAGCACTCTGTTGACTAGGAATAGGGAGAGAAAACATCTTTTCTTTGTTTCTGATCTTAGGAGAAAAAACTTAGCTTTTCATCATTTATTATTACGCTAGCTGTAGGTTTCCCATGCATGACCTTTACCAGGTTGAGAAAGTTCCCTTCTAAGTTGACTAAGAGTTTTTATCACGAATGTCTGTTTTGAATTCTGGCAAATGATTTTTGTGTAACTATTGAGATGATCATATGATTTTCCTTTTAGAATGTTAAAATGGCAACTACACTGGTTTTTTTTCGTTTTGTTTTTTTCCCGCATGTCAAATGGGTAAAGTGCCAGTGTAACAAAGTTCAAGGGAGGCATATCTCACATATGAGTGTGAAAACCTAATCATCATGCTTTGATATATTTTTTAAGATGTTAAACTGATTTTGCATTCTGGCGATAAAACTCCACTTGGTCATGATGTATTAGCTTTTTTATATATTGCTGGATTCAATTTGCTTAAATTTTGTTAAGGAGTTTTGCTTCTATGTTCATGATGGAAATTAGTTTGTAGGTTAGTTTTCTTAGAATAACCACCTGGTTTTGGGATCAAGATAATGCTTAAGTAATAGAATGAATTCAGGGTGCTCCCTCAAATTTTATTCTGTGGAAGAGTTTAAGTAGAATAAATATTACATATTTCTTAATTTTGGTAGAATTCTTCAGTAAAGTTGTTTGGACCTGGAGTTTTCTTTATGGGAAAATTTTAAACTACAAACCCAATTTCTTTAATAGATACAGGGCTATTCAAGCTATTTCTTCTTTAGTGAGTTTTGACAGTTTGCGTCTTTAAAGGAGTTTAAACCATTCACATTTAAAGTGATTATTGGTGTAGTCGGATAAATATCTACCAAATTTGTAACTGTTTTCTATTCTTGCACTCTTTTTAAATCTTCCATTAATCTTCTGGCTTCTCTAATTTTAATTTTATATGATTTCATTTTCCCATTTTCTATCTTAAGTTATATTTATTGACATAAAATTTTTATATTTGTTTGGTCTCCTTTTAATGTTGGCAAGATCTATAGTTATGGCCCTTCTCTCATTCAGGATGATATTGGTAATTTGTTATGTTTCTCTCCTGATCAGCCTGTCTAGAAGGTTGTCATTTTTATTGTTATTTTTAAAGAAAGAGGTTTGATTTCATTGGTTTTCTCCATTATTTTTGTTTTCTATTTCATTGATTTTCACTCTTATCTTTACTATTTACTTCATTTCACATTAAGTTTGGTTTTATTTCTCTGGTTTCTTAAAGAGGAAGCTTAGTCATCGATTTTAAATTTTTCTATTTTTCTAATATAAGATTTGAATGCTGCAAATTATCCTGTAAGTCCCTGCTTTAGCTTTTTTTTTAAAGGGAAATTTTAATATGTTGTGTTTTCTTTTTTTTCAGTCAAAATATTTTCTGATTTTCCTTGCAATTTATTCTTTGGCTCATGGGTTACTTAAAAGGAGGTTTCTTAGTTTCCAAATATTTGGATCTTTTTCACGTATTTTTGTATTGATATCGACTTAAATTCCATTGTGGTTAGAGAATATGCTCTGGATTATTTTAATCCTTTTAAATTTATTGAGACTTGTTTCATGATCTAGAATATGGTAAATATTGGCAAACATTTAGTGTATGCACTTGAAAGGAATGTATTTTCTTCTGTTGGATAGGATATTCTATAAATGTCAGATCAAGTTGGTTGATAGTGTTGTTCATGTCTTCTATATCTTTATTTTCTGTTTATGGTGTTTATCAATTATTTAGATAGCAGTATGAAATCACTGACAATAACTGTGGATTTGTCAATTTCTGCACTTTTATTTCTGCTTCATGCATTTTAGAGCTCTGTTATTAGGCACATAAATATTTATTATTGTTATGTCTTCTTGATTAATTGACTTCTTTATCAGGGCTAAGTTTTCTAGTTCTGAAGCCTGCCTTGTCTGAAATTAATATAGCTACTCCTGCTTTCTTTTAATTAATGTTAGTATGTTACAGATTTCTCCATTCTTTTACTTTTTTATTGTAGCAAAAACCACATAACATTACATTTACCATTGTAGCCAGTTTTAAGTGTACAGTTTGGTAGTGTTAAGCATATTTACATTGTTGTGCGATTAATCTCTAGAATTTTTTCATCTTGCAAGCTTGAAACTCTATACCCATTAAACACTAATTCTTTCCTATTCTTTCCTCCCCCTGCCCTGCCTCCATTCCTTTTCTTTTAATCTATAAGCATCTTTATATTCAAAAGATTTCTTATAGACAACTTATAGATGGGTATTTTTATTAAAAAAAATTGACTCTGATGTTTCTGTTTTTTAATTGCTGTATTTAAACCATTTCCGTTTGAAGTCATTATCGATGTAGCTGGATAAATATCTACCAAATTTGTAGCTGTTTTCTATTATTGGACTCTTTTTCAATCTTCCTTTCTTTTTCTGCCTTCTCCGATCTTAATTGAACATTTTACATGATTTCATTTTCTCTCCTCTCTTAGCTTATCAGTCATACTTCTTTTCAAAAAATTATTTTAGTAATTGTCCTAGTGTTTGCAATACACATTTACAACTACTCTGAGTCTACTTTCAAGTAACACTATACTTCTTCACAAATAGTGTCAGCATAGTAAGGTATTTCTAATATCTCCCTTCTATTCCTTGTATCATTGCTGTTATTCATTTTACTTATCCTTAAGGTATAATAACCTAAAGAATTGTTGCCATCATTATTTTGAGCCACCAGTTATTTATTAGATCAGATAAGAATAAGAGAACTAAATATTTTATTTTGTTATGGCTTCATTTATTCTTTCTGTAGTGCTCTTTCTTTATGTAGATTTAAGTTTCTGATATATATGCTTTTCCTTTCTCTGAAGAATGTTTACTATTTCTTGCAGACCGCGTCTACTGGTGAAAAATTTTCTCAGTTTTTATTTGCAGGACACAGAATTCTAGGTTTGTTAGTTTTGCTCTCTTAACCTTAAATATTTTAACACAATCTTATAATCCTGACTTTTAATTCACGTGTTTACACTATTTACATTTAACGTGATGATCAATATAGTTGGGCTTAAGTTTGTCACCATAATGTTTCTTTTTTATTTGACTCATGTGTTCTTGTTCCTCCTCCTTTAGTTTTACTTTTATTGACTTTAAAAAATTGATTTTATATCTTTTATGATCATTTTTTCTTCTTTATTGACTTACTTGTTTTGTTTTTGCTTTTGTTTTTCAGTGGTTGTTCTAGGGTTTGTAGTATATACTTTTAATTTAACACAGTCTACCTTCAAATAATATTAACCATTACACATATTATATAACAACTGTATAATAGTAAATGGTTCCATTTTTATTTTTCCCTCCTGGCCTGTATGTTTTTGTTGTTACATATTTTACTTTACATATGTTCAAAAAAACCCCAAATATGTTGTTAATATTTCTACTTTAAACAGTCAATTATGTTTTAAAGAGATTTAGAAATAAGAAAACACATCTTTTATATTTACTCTCATATTTACCGTTTTTGGTGCACTCCATTCCATTGTGTAGATCCTAATTTGCATCTTGCATTGTTTTCCTTCCTGTAAGAAATCTGAACATTTCTTACAGCGCTACTCCTCTGGTGATAAATTATCTCAGTTTTTGTATACCTTAAAAACCCTTTATTTTGCCCTCTTTTGTAAAAAGACATTTTAACTCTGTACAGAACTCTATACTGACAGGTTTTTTTCCTTTCAGTTGTTTAAAGATGTGACTCAACCATCTTCTGACTCGCACTGTTTCAGATGGGGAATCTGTTGTAACTCTAAGTTTTGTTCCTCTCTATGTAATATAGCTCCTCCCACCCCCACCCTCCTTTGGTTTATTTTGAGATTTTATCTCTATTACTAGTTTCCAACAATGTGATGATTTTTGATGTTCTTTGGTGTGGTTTTCTTTATGTTTCTTTTGCTCAGGACTTACAGAGCTTCTTGGATCTGTGGATCTGTAGTTTGACTTTTTAAATTTTAGGATAAATAAGAGGTGGTTTTCATAGGTCAGGCTCCCTGGAATGTAGATGTTCATGCAGGAGGTTTACTGGGGTACACACTCAGGAACAACAACTGAGAGGAGCAGCATTGGGCAGAGTGAAAAATCTGAACTGCAGTGCACTGAGAAGAGAGCTACTAGCCAATCCTATGGGGACCTCTGAAGCTGTAGTGACCTTTCAGAGTTGTCTCAAATTCAGACAAGGGAGCTAAGCCCTACACTGACTGATCATCGAGTGTGGGCTGCCCTTAGGAAGGTGGCATAACCATAGGCAAGGAAGCTTTCTTTGGCCAAAAGAAAATTCTGGAGAAGGATTTAGCTGTAAATTATCTGCACTCCACACTCCTGGCAGTTGGGGTATTAAGTGTCTCACTCCTGAAGGTGAAATGTAGGCAGTACACACAGCATCCTCTATAGAAGTGGTTCCTAGTAGTATGTAATGAACTTGAAATCATCAGTGCTAGTGGTGAAATAGACTCACTACAGTATACGTTACTCCTACGATGATTTTTGGCACTTCCATCAATGATGATCTTACATTTTTACTCAACAATTTGATGTATGTAAGTCCTCAATGAAACCGTAAGCTTCTAGAAAACATTTTACCAATCTGTAGCCCCCTAAGTGACTTTCAGAGTATTGTGCTTATTTACCAGTGAAGTAACTAACTCCCAAAAGAAGCTTTTGGATTACCTCATCCAGACTCCACATTCTACAGCTGGGTAAACTAAGACTGAGATAAGTCCTACAGCCAACAAGTACCTTACTTGAGACTAGAATCCAGATCTCTTAACCTGTAACTCAATAAGTACTGCTTTCACTTTGCCTGGCTATATCACAAGGGGTCATCAGTAATTAGTACATAAATATAAATGAGTATTTACTACTCTACCTCTGGTGAATAAATAGCTCCAAGAAGACTTTAAGTAAACATGAGTGGTATTGCATAGATGTTTTAAGGTAATGTAGGATTCGAAGAAGACTCAAAGTTTTCCTAATACAATAAATTACAAGTAATATATTTTATATTTGTAAACAAATATAGATTTTAGATGTTTAAATACAAAGAAAAAGGCTATAAAGATATACAGTCAGCTCTCCATATCTGTGGGTTCTGCATCTGTGAATTCAACCAATTATAGATTGAAAATATTCAGAAAAAAGGATGGCTCTATCTGTATTGAACAGGTACAGATTTTTTGTCATCATTGTTCTTAAACAATATAGTATAACAACTATTTACATAACATTTATATTATATTAAGTATTATAGGTAATCTAGAAATGATTTAAATTATATAGGAGGATGTGCGCAGGTTATATGCAAATACTACACCATTTGGTATAAGGG